AAAAAAAAAAAAAAAGAAAAAAAAAGAAACCCAAACCTTTGTGCTTGCTGAACAGGCAGGAATGGGTTGCTGTTCTGGGGTCAGCAGCTAAGGCTCTGGCTCCCCATGGCCAGGGCAGGCTTGTTTCCTACTGCGCTCCTCTTTCTCCCCTCTCCTATCCTGTGCTGCCTCTCTCTGTCAACACTCTTTATACTCACTTCTATTTCTCTCACCTCCTTCCCTCCTTGCCTGTATATGAGCCCACCTTTCTATTCTGGTCTGAGAGTTCCTACTCATCAGTTGGTCCAAAATCAATAGGACCAGTTCCACCCAGGCTTCCTTCCGCTCGATCCTCTTTTTTTGTGTCCCTTGGTCCAGACTGCGGGTGGTAAGAGGGGAAATGTGGGATTATTCACTCCCTCTGGCAGATTTAAAACAAACTAAGGTTGATTTAGGTAAATTTTCTGATGACCCAGATAGGTACACAGATGTTCTCCAAGGGTTAGGACAAAGCTTTGACCTCTCTTGGAGAGAAGTAATGCTACTACTAGATCAAACTTTAACATTAGAGGGCGGTGCCGGTGGCTCAGTGGGTAGGGCGCCGGCCCCATATACCCAGGGTGGCAAGTTCGAACCTGGCCCTGGCCAAACTGCAACAAAAAAATAGCCGGGCGTTCTGATGGGCACTTATAGTCCCAGCTACTCAGGAGGCTGAGGCAAGAGAATCGCCTAAGCCCATAAGTTGGAGGTTGCTGTGAGCTGTGATGCTCTGGCACTCTACCGAAGGCAATAAAGTGAAACTGTGTCTCAAAAAAAAAACACTTTAACATTCAACAAGAAAAATAAAGTCTCAGATGAGGCTAGGAAGTGCGGTGATTTACTTTTTATTCCTTCTGTATTACTTTTTAATAAAACCCTATCTTACCACTGACCAAAAAAAAGAAGAGAAAAGATATCATATTAGAATTCTTGTTAGAGTATAATGGAAATTATCATGAGTTCATTCTAAATTGTTTAAAAATAAATCCTTTACAAATAGCAATGCCTTAAATATCAATACAGGTTAAGCATTCCTAATCCCCAAATCCAAAATCTGAAATATTCCAGACTTCAAAAATTTTTAAGTGCTAACATGACATGCAAAGGAAATGCTTTTCAGGACACTTTGGGGTTCAGAAGGTTCAGAATGCAAATACAAAGGATCCAAAATCCAAAAAGCATTTTGGATAAAGGATACACAGCCTGTGATAATACTGCAGTTATACCCTAGTGAAGAGTGGGGTGGTGGAAAGTGCTCAGAAAAGGCAGGACGTCTGCCACCAGCAAGTCTCTGGGTCTCTCTGGACTTCTGGGCTGCTGGACTTTGGGATCAGACAGACCTGGGCACAGGCTGGGCTCCTCCTTTACCTGTTGGGCAACTTTAGGGAAGTAGCTTCATCTTGTTGTACTTTATTTTCCTCTTCTACAAAAGGATGATGCTTTACCTGATGAAGTTGTACTCACAACAAACCTTATGAATAAGCCACTAGTATGGAAAAATGGTCTTACCAAAAAGAATTTAGGGACAAAAACATTCAATTATAGGAAAAATTCATACATTCTATTGGGAGTCAGAGGGAAGCATTTTCAAGAAGGGAGCATGTCTCATTCATTGGAGTATTTTTCATATTGCCTACAAATAAATGCCTGACACAAATACACACAGTTCAATAAATTTTCACCTAGATAATTTAAAATTTTTTTTCCACTGTTCCTTAAAGTAAACCTCAATACTTCCCTCCCCATTTCAAAGAATCACTGAATTTTAGAGTAAAGAAGAAATTGAGGGTATTCTGTTCACTTAACCACACTAACAAACACTGATCACAGACGACGTGCCCATGGTATGCACAGGGCTATATGTGCATGACCTCATTTGATACTGACAACTTCATCAGGTAAAGCATCATCCTTTTGTAGAAGAGGAAAATAAAGTACAACAAGGTGAAGCTACTTCCCTAAAGCTGCCCAACAGGTAAAGGCAGAGCCCAGCCTGTGCCCAGGTCTGTCTGATCCCAAAGTCCAGCAGCCCAGAAGTCCAGAGAGACCCAGAGACTTGCTGGTGGCAGACGTCCTGCCTTTTCTGAGCACTTTCCACCACCCCTCCCTTCACTTAGGGAAACAGCACCAGTGGATAGCCAACACTTCCTAAAGCCAGGAATGCCCTAAATCGGAAGGATGCTATTCTCACCTGAGAAGACCCTGTCTTTCCACCGAGCTCACCATGTGTGTCTAGCCGTTGGACCTCAAACTGTAAGAAAAACAGACTCTGGGATGGTTTCCCCCAAAGTTAGTCAAGGACAACAACTGCTCAGTATCAATTTGGGTCATTTCTGAGAATAACTTTCATAACTCAGCCTGCCCTATTTCCTGTCCCTTCTTGACTGCATCAACTGGCCATCTTGCTCTTTGTGATGAACAATTTCTCAGAACTATTTCTAACAAATATATTGAGATGCTTTCTTTTCTTCTAGTGGTAACCTCGTTATACTGTCTAATTCTCCAAACTTCATCTAACTCCCTGCCAAGTCCTCTCCCATACCATCTCTCCACTCCCTCTATTCTCAAGGGTCTACATCTGCTGTTCATTGTACTTTTCCTTTACTTTTCTCCAGAAAACATTCAAACAAAATGTAAATATGAAGTTCTACCTTCTCCTGCAGATTGTAGAGATCAGATTAGATACCTGTGCTTGGCGAAGCAGCATTCCAGGCCAATTGCAGCTGAAGACTTTGTCCCCTCTTTGGTGTTTATCTGTAGAGAAAAACACTCTGTAATATAATCCTTAATGTCTGGCCTCTCTGAATCTGCCAGATGTCAGCAGAAGACTGATGCTGAGGAGGCATTAGCAGAGCTCAGGAACACATCACCAACACTTTTCAGTAGCCTCCTAGTTATCAGCCCCAACCAAACTGTCACTGTCAGGCCAATTCCTACTCAAGCCCCAGGAACACATCTGGACTCCCAAGAACATCCTCCCCTTTGCAGATGGCTGAATTGACTCCTTTATGCCTGGGACTTTTTTGCTCTGTAGCAATGCTGCATAATCTAGAGAAAGAATGTCTTAATGTCAATATCTGTGTGGTTTCATTGGCTGTTCCCCAAATAAGGAATGCTCAGACTGCCTGCAGCGCCAGACTCCTCAAGAGCAACACTGTAACTGGACTGGAGCTGTCTTTGCAAAGCCGCCTTCTTGTTTTGTGTGGTTGGCGGTCTGCAATCTCATTACCCTCACTGCTATTCCAGAATGTATATCCTGAAAACAAAGCCAAAGTCAAGGATAGGCCAATGTGTAAAAATGCATGCGTGAAGAATTTTTTTAAAGGTTTGCTATGACAATGTTTAAAATACCACTTCTATAAAAGTTTTCCCTTTAGGGGGGGAATCTGAAAGTTTAAGACAAGAAAGGAATCAGAAGACAACACAAAACCTCAAGGAAAATGAAAAAACTTTACCCTCCTTCTAGGTCATTTGAGAAGTGCCCACAGGCTGCCTGAACCATGTTATTAGCATGTATGTTCTGCAGCTCATAACATTCAATCACAAAAACGTGTGGTACTTAGTTCAGTTATGTGACAGGAAATAACATTTGTCAAATATTAAACCACAGCAAAATCTGCCCATGCCTTTGGATACTATCAGTACCGATTCCAGTTCAACTCTCCAACGCTGCCCCTCCCCTGTGGCATTTAACCTTTGCTTTTCCAGCATGAATTTGGGTCTTGGCTATTTTTTTTTATTATTTAGTTTTTATTTCATAATTATAAACTTAACTCTGCAATCCAGCTAGACATGGAGAGGAATAAGGACCATATGCAACCCAAAGAACTGCAGTGAGAGCACAGAGATTACAGGATATTGCGAGCAAATGGGGTAGCGGGGGCTCTCCTGAGCTACAGGAGGGATGGTTTGGTGGTTGAAACATTAAGTCAAATGTATTACAGCTGTCCACTGTCAGTGATGGGGATCTTCTTGCTGGTCTAGCCATTCTTGGACCCAGAGCGTTCCATGGCTTCCACAATATTCATGCCTTCTTTCACCTTGCCAAAGACCACACGCTTGCCATCCAACCACTCAGTCTTGGGAGTGCAGATGAAAAACTGGGAACCATTCGTGTTGGGTCCAGCATTTGCCATGGACAAGATGCCAGGACCTGTCTCCTTCAGGACAAAGTTTTCATCTTCAAATTTCTCCCCGTAGATAGACTTGCCACCAGGGCCATTCTGGCGTGTGAAGTCACCACCCAGGCACATAAACCCTGGAATAATTCTGTGAAAGCAGGAACCCTTATAACCAAATCCTTTTTCTCCAGTGCTCAGAGCACGAAAGTTTTCTGCTGTCTTTGGAACTTTGTCTGCAAACAGCCCGAAGGAGACGCAGCCCAAGGGCTCACTGTTGGCGGCAATATTGAAGAACACACTGGGGTTGGCCATGGCTGATAGAAGACGATTGTTAAGAAGCGACAGCGTCTGCAAAGCCCTGGCTATTTTTTTTAATCTTACTTTAATAACTTGTTCATTTCCTAAATTTAGAGAATAGTAACAATGATTCTCTCTTTGACCAAAGTCTAGTCAGCCTTAGAGCCTGCTTCTTAAATAGGTCTTTCAATTATGGCCTATAGAGCCTTAAAAAAACACTAATATAGTTTCTCATGGCTCAAGGTCACATCCTAGAATGATACTAGGCCCCTCTTAAAGCGCCTCCCTGGGAAAACTCAAGGCTGCCTACAGAATTTACTGTTTGCATCAGTCAACATCTCATGACAGGGGCCCTCTCTCCCAGACTCCATGGGAGGGTAAGAGCTTAACTCCATAAGTGCCAATTTGCAAACCCAAATGGGTTTCACACGGACCAACACTCTCTTTCTGACTTTTTAAAAAATTTTCACATCCCTGACTCTACTGAGCTCATTCTGTTTTTAAAATACCCAAGACACCTCTATATCTGCATACAACTCAAAGTTGAGTTCAGTTCACAGTGGACTCTTTTCCCTATTGCAATGATTATGAACAATTAAAACATGTTCTCATCACTTTAACTACTACCCAGCTGTGTTCATCTTTGAACACAATATGAACAGATACCAACCCAAACTGGCCAGTCCCAAGAAATGGTCTTTACATGAATTTTAAAAAATGATTTGGAATTAGATAGGGCATTCTGATTTTAGAATTTTATTCTTATCATCGTGACATTTTTATGAATCCATACCATATTTATGTCACTCTCACAGAGGCTACAGAAATTTGCTAAGCAGAGGACCATAAGCCTCAGTTTCCTCATCTATAAAATAGTGATACTAATATTTACCTCATATGTAAATTGCCTCAAAAGAGGTATTCAATGTTACTTTTCCTTCCTTCTCCCTTTCTCTTTCTCCTTTGTACCAACTCTAACCTTTGGAACATATACTTTCACTAGTTAGGGAAAAACTAAGGAACCCCAAATCTGGAGTTTGGTTTAGCACCAGGTCAACTCCTTTTCCAGAACTATGTCTTCATTCTGCCCAAATCATGACTCTACCTTCACCCTGCCCTCGGGATCTAATCATGTTACAAACCCTAATATTTTGAAACACTACTTCTAATGTGATAGGATTTGGAGGTGGAGGCCTTTGGAAAGTGATTAGGTCATGGGGATGGAGTCCTCATGGATGGGATTAGTGCCCTTTTAAGAAGAGGCCAGAGAGTTAGTTCACCCTCCTTCTGCCATATTAAGATATAGTAAGAAACTGTCAATCTTTGCAACCTGGGAAAGGGCCCTCTCTAGAACCCAACCATGCTGGCATCCTGATTTTAGCCTATTAGCCTCTAGAACTGTGAGAAATAAATTTCTGTTATTTATAAGCCACTCTGTCCATGGTATTTTGTGACAGTACCTCAAACTAAGACATTTTTAAAGATAGCATCTCCCACAATGGAAAAAAGTTAATAGATGTAGAGAGAAACAACCCACGGTCAAATGTATTTGAGAAATCCAGGTTTACAGGTCTTTCCATTGCAATCCTTCCCAGAACCTGTAGGATACTAATGTTCCCAAGGCCCTCTAGGAGGAGGGAGAAACAGGAGGCTTCCCTCAGAGGCCCATGGAGGGGTGTCTCTGAACCCTCTGGAGCATGCACAAGACAAAGGGAACACGCAGTCCACCTTTAACTTCAGACTTCCTGTTCTGTTGCCACCTCTCTGTTATGACCATGAGGATGGACTTTGGGCCTGTAGCAGCTTCTTTGACTTAGCAGGCTCTTAGCTTTGCTCTAGAGACAAACAGTGGGCACAAGTCTTTCCCTAAGACACCAGCAGTCCTCACAGTAGGGCATCCCCGCCCTGCCTTGCTTTCCCAGAGAGGGGACCAAAGAGCCCCACATGGGCCATGGCTGAATGAATTCTGCCACTGACCTCAGCAAGCCTGTGGGGGCTCTCTTCCCCAGAGCATCCTCAGCAGCATTCGACAGCTGTCCTCATTGCTACTCTGACCAGCACCACTAAAGCTTCCCCCAACCCAGGCCCAGCATCTCCTGGCCAGGGCAGGGAGCATCAGAGGCCTCAGACCCCCATTCATACGCATGTGCATACACACGGAATCAGGGCTCTGCAGTGCTGCTGGACACCAAGCATGTCCTCTGCCTGGGGCCAGGGAGCTGCAGCCCCTATTCCCCAATACCGCCATGTCCCCACCTGGTCACCTACCCTTCACAGGCCCCTGGAGAGGACCTCAGTGACCCCCTGCAGAGGAGGCTATGGGGTAAGGGTCAGCCTCTCACCTGCAATCAGAATGGCACTGAACTCTTGGGCTATTCTCTCTGAAGACAGTGGGCACCTGGCATACGGTACAACCAAAGCTTGTGCCAGACACAGTTTTGAAGCTCATGCTCTCAGCCTGCCATCTGCCTGACATGCAGATGTGCTCTCCATCCTTAGAAACTGTGAGTGTTTAGATGGGGAACTTTTGAAGCCCAGTTAAGAGGAGTTCCTCCTTCATGGCTTCTGGGCTCTAGCCACAGCTAAACCTCAACCCAAGAAGGCAGAAGAGCACGGAGGTCTAGTGCCGTGGGCTTCTGTGCCCAAGTCACTTAGCCTCTCATCGCAGTTTCTCTAGTTACTATCTCTAAGGCATGTTGTTTCCCATCCCTTGGTCTTGATTTCCTTACCCTTAAAGTGAAAATAAATAGCACCTACTTCACAAGGACCAAATAGTTAGTGCTAGTAAAATCTCACAGACCAGGCATTAAAACACAAAGGTAGCATAGCGCTTACACAGGGAGTGGGGGGTGATCTTAGATCTTTATTCACCATTCTTGGGTGGGGGAGGGGTAGGCTATGCCAAGCTTGCGAGGTTTCCTGTGAGAGTCCTGGAGTCTCTCTAAATTGGTCTCTCATTCTCCAGCACAAGAAAAACATGGAAAAACATGCCTTTCATTTCACAACTCAATTTAGCACAACGTAATGAAGCAAGTCTGCACAGTGCCTGGAGACATGAAAGGTAATCAAGGAAAAGACTGACCAGAAGTGATGAAGGCCCCTCAGACAGGTGGCTAATGACTGAGAGGTCAAACCTGCAAACCTGGGTCCATGCTGTCACCCACAACCCAAGACTTGGCATCACTGTACACCAGCGGTTCTCAAACAGAAGCAGCTTAGCTCCCCAGAGAACATTTGGCAGTATCTGCTGGGGGTGGGAAGATGCCACTAGCAAACGTCCTACAATGCACAAGACAGCCCCCCACAACAGAGAATTTTC